TTGTACAATGTTTGTGCTTTTCTCACTTTCCGACTGATAGAAGATATTCTTTGTTAATATATTTTTTTGTTAATATATTATTTATGTATTTGTTGAAGATGGCTAAAATCGATAGCCGAAACGTTCAAACTAACATCTTTTAATACACATTATACTATTAATAATACACTTATTATATAAGTGTAGATTGCGCATCTTTTACCGCGCTGACTCCAAAGTAGCCCCCTTAAATCTGTATTATATTTTTACAATATAGAATATCTTTGATTAAAAATAAAGAGTGACGTTCACAATTCATAGCATTCATTAAATATAAATTAAAAGAAAGTATTTAAATTTCCAAAGATAAATGTTTTTGTTTTAACGAGATTGAATGAGTAACTGCTGATTTTACCATGGTTTTAGTCATGCGTGCATACGTTACATGTAGTAATGCATCGCTGACAGAAACGATCAAGGGAGAGATGTTCGCACATTCATTCTCATGAACGATCGTACTGTATTTCACCAAGAACTTTCTACGGCATCCCGCAAGGCTATCTGAGAAGCTAAGAGCGTCAGTCATCAGAGAAACGTGAGGGATCGATAAAATAAAATCGAGTTCAGATTTCCTTACTCGCAAATTTACTGGATAACTAATATTACAATACATTTTCTTTAAAAAAATTCATCGTATTATTTAAAAAAAAATTTGCAATTTAAAGACACGACATTTAAATGAAACAAAAGATTAGCCGTTAAAATATAATCTATATATAGCATTCTATATAAAATTCCAAATTTAACGGCACTGTGTGCAAGTGATAGTTAATATTTTTCTTTCTGCATAGCAGAATAATTCTTTAAGCTTTGCGGTTCAGACGTCTCTTTCTCTCTTTTTTTTTTATTCGCACTGCACGCTTGTGGTTTGGCATTCTCGTACAATTGTCGTAAAAGACTAAAGGGCTCTGCCCGCCCTTTGTTTTAGTGTGTCAGGTACCACAATATATTCGCATTGTTCTCTCTGTGGCCGGTTTTTGCCGCAGGCCGATTCGCGATCCAAGAAGAAACGAGCGCTGCGGCTCTCTCTGGATGTGCACAAGACGGAGACCTCGCTCTGATATATTATCTGCCAGACTCGATTTTGGTAGAGAGCATTAAAACACAACATTGCTTATTCGTTTGCGACGTTAACGTCGATTTTTCTTTGCAACACGTCGCGATCCGAATTTATTTATGATCCAACTATACCTTTTAAATCGCCATTTCTTTTTATCATCTTCCGACGCGATTTCTTAAAAACTCAATCATTGATCGATTTTTTCTTTGATGACATACTTAACTAATAGTGACATATTACTTAACTAATAGTGAGCCAGAAAAATAAAATAAAAAATCATTTATGGTTTCAGCCATTTAACATTAAAGAGAAAGATTTCAAATGCAAAATCCGATGATGTATATCACTTTTAACGATAGTTCATTCATGAAATTTTGGAACCTAATTTTTTGATGATTTAAACTCTTATATTTATAATGATGTTTTAAGGTGATTATTTTAAAGATATACATTCATCTTAATATTTCGGTAATGAGCTTTCGCAATCTATTATCTCGAGTTAAATGCAATATGCATGTGACAATGCGCGTTTCATCGTTATCATGTATTTCACGGTGATAAAGAATAGCAATACGAATGTAGTCGGCATTGGCTTTGACACAAGCGCGAACACATGCCTCGCTATCGTTTCACGCGGGCAACAAAGGAGCTTGAGGTATGCCACTTGCATCCGCTATTACAATCTAACGCGAGGAGGAATGCGTCGCTCGTTCGACAAGAGAAAGAAAGAGAGTGTAGTGTCGGGGAACGGCAGGTAGCCCCGTCGACGACGAGAACGAGAAAGCACGTACATCACTGTCACAGATTCTTCACGCCGTCGTCTGACTGATTTCCGCGAGTAAATCATCGCGTTTACTTCACCGCTTTGCTCGAAGTTCGCGTTCAAGTTTATGGATGTCCAACGGAACCGCGGCAATGTAATAGAAGCTATTTGTGCGGAAATGACACAATATACCGTAAAATATTCATAAACGTTACATAAAGTTAGAGCGCATGTCGTAATTCCTTGGAGAATCATTCATGTTTTACGAGAAAATTCTTGAATTTGGAAATATCTAGAATATGAAATAAATGTTTATATACTCTGGTAACCTATTTTATGATTTCTTCAATATATTAATGCGTATATATCATAAAAAATAAATTGATATATTTTGTTTCACGATTTGTTTAGAAAAGGAATTTTTTATTGTTATATTAAATTTAAGAACTAGATATTGTGTTATTTAGTTTGTTAATTAGCACAATTACATAAAAAAAATAAATAAATTACATTTTTACATAACCTTTTTTTTAAAATGGCATCTAATTATCTATGTTGTAAATTGATTAATTCAACGAGATCTATACAGGCTATGATTAATTGCTATATAGTAAAAAAACACACTTATATGTAATACATATATATGTCTTATGTATAGAAATTAATGATGAAAGTAATATCTATTCGCTATCGTTACTCAAAAATCTAACTGCATTACCATTAAAATTACAAATATAATCTCGTTATTAAAAAAAAAAAATCCTTGTTACAAAAAAAAAAGAAAGTAATTATATCTAATAATAACAATGTTACAAGCGTACGTTACCTCCCAATTCTGAATTATATAAAATACATGACTAATTAAATGCAACAATTTCTGATTGCACTGACACATAACTGCGAATATCGTGAGATGGGTTTCAATTGCTATGTACGAGATAAAATTATGCAAAACACGCAGAATCTCATCATTGAGAAACATCCGTCAAATTTTGCACACCGTCGACGAGTCTCGCTTATCTCAAGCCTTAACGACCCACGAAGCAATTATCCTTCGCGGCGGCTCAAAGCCAAAACGACAATAAATCAACGTCAAAGTAATGATCTCACAATCGAAACAATTACCCAACCGCGATTCGATTTTGTGCGCGCGAACTATGCGAATGCCAATTTAGTCGAAGAAATCTTGAGACTACCGGGCTATCGATTATCGCCGGCTGGTAATTAGCCGTCGTGTTTCTGTTCTCGCGAGAATTACGAGCGCCAAAACGACGAAGAACAATCTACGAACGAAGAGAAACGAGCCAGCATCCTTAATTATAGGTTTCGACATGCCTGACGCAATGTGCAAGGGCAAAAGCACACAATAAACAAAGTGTTAGTCGACTGTAGTTTAGTCTTGAAACATAACAGGTGTAAGCTTTAAGCTGTAAGATATTGGCCAATCACAGTCAAATATGAGAAGAATAATCAACTATATAATTAGTTGGCTTTTTACGGTTTCAAGCTCATTATATCTATTGTTGACTTATAGTCGTTTATGGAAAGTCCTCGTCAATGTGTAGTGCACATAACAATTTTAACTGATTTTTATAAACGACTCAATAATCGACCGACTTTGTCTATCATCTTATCCTGAGGCCACATTTAGATCACGATGCTGCTTTTAGCAGTGTAACAGATTTTAACAGAACGATCGACTACTATGTGTGGAGAGATCGATTATAATTATATGCATATTATGAAAATAATGAATAATATTTACAAAATAATGAATAATAAATTGTATTGGCTGCCGCAATTAAATATCACGCATTGCCTGCTTGATTTTGAATGCATCGTATATAGCAATGCAAAATCAAGCAGGCAATGCGCGATATTTAGTTGCGACAGTCAATATAATTTATTATTCATTATTTTCTCTGCTTCAGCAAAAAGCTATGTGTAGATAAAAGAGTAAGGGTAAATATGTTAATATCTCAAAATATAAATGTCAAAAGTGCTGCGTTCACTTTCAATAAATAGGAGATAATCGCATTCAAATTGGCAAATAAATTAATATATTTTCGATATTATACCTAGATCAAAAACTACTAACGTAATGCTGTCAAAATTGGCTGAATGTGATTCTCAATGAAATGTAATCATTTTTCTGTTCATATTATGGGCTATTGTAGATTATCATTATTCAATTAGGGTGAAAATTATATAAGTATCGCATCAAAGAAATGCCCGTGTCTTGTTGTATCGACATACCGAATTATCCGACTGTTGAGATAAACGAGATGAACACGACTCTCAGCGAAATGCAACATGCATTATTACAGACTCTTGCGGGTGTCAAATACGAGAACCCTGAGAAATGTAGCGTACGCAAATTCTTCGAAAGCTCCGACATTTCGCATCAGTCGTTGACTTTGCCGTGAGTTTTCTCACGAATGCATTTTTACTGATAAATTTCGATCATTTGATTCCTTCAAAGTTAACATCGTAATTTTTAATATTCAAATATATACATAGATATTCGAATATACATGAATCGCTATATAATTTTTCGATAAAATAACATTTTTATTAAACCCCCGAAGCTAATGTTAAATTCTGTAAGACAAACGTTTACTGATTTGTAAGATCCCTATATAATTTTTATTATATTAATCCTACATCTACGTAATTTTTAGTACAAGCAAAATTTTATTCTCAAATTTCCTGATTTTCTCTCTCCTAAAATTCTGGTTAAAAAACTACTTGTAATAGAAATCTTGAAAAGTAACTGAATATTTTTACATTTTTTGAAAATCTAGAACAATAAAAAACTTGAACTGAACTAAGAGAGTATAAATATGATTGCAGACAGAGGGTTAAAGGCACCAATTAATTTCAAAGAACCAAACTATTATAAAATATAACTCATGTAAAAAAAAGTAATCCAATTTGCAAATCTAAAGAAAATTGAATCATTAGACATTTGTGACAAAGAGATTTACATTATAATTGGGTGGATTCAACAGATAAAACCTACCATCAGCTTCGGGGTGTTAAGATATGAACTTGGACATAAAATATTACAGTAAAAAAATTAATCATGATTTATCTCATTTCATTATAATATACGGCATAAAAAATTAATTGATTTACCTTAACGAAGGAATGAAATTTAATTTTGCTCGGTGATACAGGTGGACTATTTGGCTGTGCTGGAACTTGCAGCAAATTCTGTACATCCAACAAGTATCCTTTCCGAACGTAATGTCTACTCTTAGGACTCGTCTGTATATCCTCTTCGTGCTTCGCCTTCTTCACCAAAAACCACAAGTTCTCCTTGACGGTGTTCTTACGCATGATAAAACTCATTTTTCGCTTATTGGCACACGAATCACTTTTGCAGATCTTCCTCCACACTCTAGACACCATACTGATCGAGCACAAATCTTGAGGCGTGAGAAAAGATAAAATTTTCGACACTAGATTCAAATGGTTGCTCTCTTCTCCAAGAAGAGATAGGAAATCCACCTTTTCTCTTCCCGTATAGTCAAAAGTAAATCTTCGGCTATTCCGCAGCGACGCACATAGACCGCGATGGCTGAAGTCTAGTTTCTTGGGCTTAATCTCAGATGAGGCAGCCAAATCCGTGATACGCAATTCGCGCAACTTACGATTATCCGCTGACGTTATGATGGGGCTATTTCTCGTATGAATCGGCGAAATCACAACTCGCGGGATCAAAACTTTGAGTTTCGGTGGCGTCCTGACCTGTTGCGATTTACTATGCGGCGTACAGACTAGCTTCATTTCGGCATCCTCCAGGATGGGCTCCGAGGCTACGTCAGATGAAGAGGGTACCGCCGGTGATAGAGGTGGCGAGAAAATTTGGAAATCCATGGTGGGGGTGACAGGCACCGTGATCCTCCTGTTGCTAAGCAGCCTGTCGAATTCATTATTGGCACAGCTTGGGGTAGAATGCACCAGGCTCTGGTTATCATGCATGCACGACGGTTCCAGTACCGAGTCGTGCTCGACAGGATTCTCAGATACGAGATAATCCAGAGTATTGTGGAACTCGGAGGTGTTACCGTCTCGGAGACGATAATTGAATTTGGTGCGATGCCTCTTACACAAGAAGGGATCCGGGCGATATCTATGCTTCTTGGTGGAGAACAATGCGCCGGTAGACGAACGCGTTCGATAACCAGTTATCTTCGGGGTACAGCCGCTGGTCTGAGGCGTTACAATGGACAGATAACCGCTGTCGGCACTGTCATGGGAGATGCTGTTGATGGAGATGCATGGTGTCTTGACGACGTGCATGTCGACATCCTCCATCATGCTTAAGACGTCGTTCATTTGATTGATTTTAAAAACTTCTTCTGACAAATTTGGATGCTTAGACTTCCGGTACGGACTATCTTGCCTTTTACTGGATATTACGTGAACGGTGTATTCAAAGCGACATGTTGAACAGTATTCGAACCGTCATCGAATAACAAAATTGTAGGCTTCTGTAAATTAAACAAACATTATATTACATAACATTATCTTGTAAACTTTTTAGAATAAAATCTTACTCTCAAAGATTGAAAACTAAGTCACTTTTTGTCAAAATTAACTCAATTTTCATTTTTGAGAATGAGATACTACTCCAAAAAAATTTAGAGAATACATTATATTACATTTAAACTTTATTTGTACGAATCTGCCAGCAAATAAACAGCTATTATCCTGGTCTATTAACTTCGATGATCTTTTCTAAATGGATCACTTCATTTTCGCCTTCTGTTTACCGTAAAGATAAGATAATCTGCTACGTCCATCGAAACAGGTATATAAACACGTATTTGCGGACTCTTTTAAGGTCTAACACATTAATCTTCATTAAATCTCGATCATAACGATATACTTTAACGCAATAAATAAATCACTGATAAATCAACAGATAACAACTGGCACATATTTAACGACATACGAAAGAGAACTGTTTTAAATTTTCAGATTATCAAAACACTCGCGAATCTGTTTACGCCGCGCGGGATAAGAGGAAGAGTGCGTCCTCGTAATGCATCATCGTTTCCCTCAAAGATCCTTCATCAGATCGAATCGCACGAACATCATTCCGCGATAGTCGCCGTTTTTCCGAAATCGCGTCGACGTATGTACCGATATACGTTGTGAAGTGCGGTGAACGCGGTTCCGTCGCGCGGCACTTGACGTTTCCCCGTTCGTGTCACTCGCCTCACTTCGCACTGTACTCACGTGCACCGCGCGGGAAACGCGCGCGCCTCATGTCCGCCTGGCGCTACTTTCCTTTCCCCTTCTTCTCAGCTACTCACCCTTTTGCCGCTTCCAACAGCAACGACGAACGCGAGTGCATGAGAGAAAATCTTCAGTATTCACAACAAAAGGCACTTCATAAAGAAGAGATCAGCTCGTTCCGACTCTTTCACCACGGTCGATTTTCTCGCGAAGAAATTCACGATTTTGACAATGCTTTGCACGATTTAGACGACCAAACGTACACTTCGCTCTCTCACCGTATACATGGTACATGCACCCTCGACCAATTTTTACTAAGTGGCGCTTGGGGGTGCGCGCAGAAAAGATGCGCACGCACCCGCTTGTCAGCGTTCTCCCTCTGACTTACCCACACGCTTCAACGTCCTACCGACTACCGACCATTGAACGTCGCGCGTTCGTAAAATCTGTTCTCACAGTCTGTCTCTGCTTCCCCCACCGATCGATGCCACGCGCGTCACTGACGAATCACGTGTGATGCCTCGTCCCGCCATCGTTGCCAAGCGGCGTCATTGGCCGAGTTCCGTCGAGCAGCTCCGCGCCGGATGCTGGAGCTTTTGTTGCCGGGGAGATTTTCTCTCGCTTGTCCTCTCGACTTCTAATTATTTCCATTTTACATCACAGAAAAATAAGATATAATTTTAAAAAATTAATTAAATTTCAATTAATTTCAATTTTGAAACTTTAGCGGATATAGAGAATTATCTAATCGTTTGTTTCATATAAAAAGCGTGATAATATATATTATACTTAATTTTGATTTGTATGTATATATATATATTATCTGTATTGTTTTAATTGTAATCGTGATTAATTGTGACTTTTCTAAAAAATGCGATTCAACAACTATTAGGCTTGTTAGACTTATTTTTAAATAAACTTATTGTACATTTCATATTTATTCTTTTTCCTTTCTGGAATTGGAAGAAAAAAAAAGAAAAATAAAAAAATTCAATCAAAAAGAACAAACTTGTTGTAACTACTAACGTCATCTATTGATACCAGAGAGAAACCTGAGAGAGAACATGAAAGTCTTTTTCCTGTAACCGCGAATGCCCCCGCACATTACTGCCCTCTGGATAAAGAACAAAATATAGAACAATATCCATTCTTTTTTCAGTGCTTCTGATGAAAATAAATCGCTGAAATCGTTTAAATCTCTATTAACTTGATAGAATTATTTCAGCGATTTATTAATTATTTCTATCAGGAGCAAAAAAATGAATGCTGTTAAAAATTATAAATTCACAAATTCAAAAATTTAAATTCACAATGCAATATGCGAAATTTGTTGAATTCTAAGTTGAAATATAATACTAATTGAAATAAAATACATTAATTTGTAATTCTTGTGTGTGTGTGTATATGTATATATATATATATATATACATATGGATACGTTCTACGTTACACATGAAGTGTATGATGTATCAATTTATCTTTTTTTATTATTTGATGAACAACGAGATAAATGATGCAATATATGTGCTTTATGCGTAACTCAGAACGTATCTTATGTCTATGATTCTGGCGTACGTATTTTAATTATTTCTGATTATGTAATGAAATAATAGTGCGGATTAAAAATGCGGAATAAGATGTAAATGACTTAAACGATTCAAAAGTAATAAAAAACCACAATACTTTAATCTTTTGTTAAAAATATTATGTACATTACGCGGATTTTGTAACAAAGAGTTATTACAAACTTATAATTATTATAATTTATTTCCATCTGAAGCACGCTTCTAGATATCATGTAAACTTTTTCTCTAGAGCGGAAACGTGAAAAGTAAAAATTTTTTGTATGTATTTTTATATATGCATTTATATATATATATATATATATACATACATACATAAAAATAAAAATACATGCATAAAAATTTTCATTTTTCACTCTAGAGAGAAAATTACATAATCGACCCAAAAGCGGTGGTTCAAATAGAAACTACTAAATAAATAACTAAAATCTATCAAATTAATATTCAAATTATTTTAAAAATTTATTTAAAAAAAATATTTCTCTCTGCTGATTCTCTCCTGTATTTACAGTGAGATCTTATATTTAAGATCGTCTTAAATAGTCTTAAGATATCATGAATCAATTACAAAGCCATATTTTAGCATCTTAGGATATTACTTAAAGTTTTAAAATAAGAATTGATTATGAATACTGCCTATTGCACACTAGACATGATGAAAGATAAGCGACGAGCAATATATTTATATAATAAAAATTCTGCTTTGTATCATTACGTGCAAAAAAGAAGAGCTTTCATGCGATTCAAAACCGATATATAATAAATGCGTTCGGGAAGTCACTATTAGCGCTATTTATATCATTCTAACTTTGTTTTACATGTAATAAACAACGAAGATAAAATGACAAAAATAACGCTAATAGCAGCTTTCCGGCATTCCGATATTATATCGTTCATTCGGCGAGTGTAACGAATCGATATACGCATGTCAGAATACAATTGTACTGCAAGGCGGCAGCGTTCGCGTGCGTGAATACAAAGCAGACTGTATGAACGTGTCTCATTTTTTACATGTCGAATTTCATTGTCACTTACTCGATTCGTCATCCGTCTTGCGCAAACGAGCACCGTTGTGCGGGTGGGCTTTGTATTACGCGAAGAATTATTGTCTTTTTAATCTATATGAATCCGATTGTAATATTTGTCGCTTGAAGTCGATATTGAAATCGTGGAACTCTCAGTAATGCAGCATCTTTAATTAAATTGAGTGTTGAGTATTGGATATAATCCAAAATGGCTAAATTATCAATAAATTTGCACTGGATAATATTTTTGTTTATTAAATCTCTAATTTTTTCGAGTTTCTTTATAAATTCTTTAATTAAAAATAACGAATATTCAGTTTTTTTTTATTTTTTTTCCCTTTTCTTTTCCTCTTTTTATAGCTTTTCCCTTTGTATTCTATTCCAGCTTTTCCCTTTGTATTCATATAAATAATAGAAGAAGCATTAAAAAGTTGTATTTACGTAGATTATTGCTGAAAGAAGACTTTAGCACTAATGGTCAATACTTGAAAGAATTTGATAATTTATCAGCACAAAGAGATGACAATAAAAAAAATTGAAAGTACGTAATGTAATTGGACGTTCTTCATTAAATTTAGTATAATATTATAAATTATATTTTACAATTAAAAATCAAAAAATAGTTTCATTTCTTGATGTAATAAAAGTTATCTAATAAAAGTCAGAAGAACTTCATACTACTAAAATAATACTGATATATATTTTAATTTAGCACGAAGAAAGTGGCTTTCAATGTTGGATTTTCTAATAGCAGAATCTCTGAAGATCTTATAACTAATATAGATATTAGATATAGATATTAGGAAGTCGATTAGGAAATCGTGCTTTCGTGTTTGCAATACGTTTTTGTAATAATTTCTTTTGATCTTTTACGCATTATTTGATATTTCAATATATGTATATAATGTTGTAGAGCTGCGATAGTAGAGCAGCAGCTATAAGCTTTATTTTAGCATAATTAGCTAAGTATAAGGACATTCAGGTATTTATATCATCAAATATTGGGTTATCCGGAAAGTTCGTGCCGATGTTGAAGGAAAATTTAAACGCAGAAAATTGAAATTTTAGTATACATTTATTAAATTATATAGGTTAATCGAACTTTCCGGACAACCCAATATAAATTGTTATTCTTAGATTTCTAAATAAATAAATAAATTTTTTAATAATTCTAGAAGTTAGTTATTTAAAATATATCAAATTAAATGTGTATAATGTATTGTTTCTCTGTATAGATATGCAAAAATGTACATATACGCGTGAGCGTGTATGTGATGCGTGTATGTTTCAAGTATTCTCTTTTTCAATGTTTATTCAATTTTATATACACATAATTAAAACAAGTTAATTTGATATTTGTGAAAAACATTTCTGAAATTCCATAGAGTTTACTAATTGTGTCTATATAAATGCATTAAAATAACAAAAATGCTTTAATTAGCATTACTGATACAGTAACATTAATAATACAGGATCGTGTTAGGAA